ATCATGAAAATGTTGATGGTTAGGATCGATTGTTTGTTTTCTTTATGAATGGCTCTGCGTGAGCATAAGCGGCTCGTGGTTGGAAATAGGTTGCGAGTTCAAAGCCTTGTTGGTGATTGACTCATCGTCTTTCCAGGGTCGATAAGTAGTCAACAGTGGTTGTCCTACAGAGAGTCTCGTCCCTGCTATAGGAAGGTCTAATTAAATTAAATTTCCACCACTGGATCAGGGATGTAAATGGAGATAGGTACCGCCTCACTGCTAAGCAGGCAATTACGTTAACAATAATAATTATTAAAGCACGTTACCCGAGAAAGCCTGCACCAGGCCTCAGGGATCTATTTATATTTTCAAGAGGTGTCCTATTCTTTGACATTTGTTCAATTAATCGTGCTTTCAGTTCACGTGTCAGGGTTGACAGGCTCTAAGGGCAGTGTTTGTTATACAATCCTTTGGGTAGACCCATTGTGGTGTGAAATTCCATAATAATGAGTGACATAAGAGCGGGCAGCCCAGAGCTCCGTGTATCCACGAGCCCATCCAGGGAGTTTCCGGACCAAAGATGGAGTGTCCACCCAATTTAGCAGGCTCCGCACTGAGGTTTCCACTTGGCAAATGGACCGCAGAGGCCACTCCATAAAGTGTTATAGCGAGGATCCTCCCGGATGCAATTAAACACAATAGCGCAGTAGGGCTGCTGCTGTTTTCCATCACTGGTGACCACCGTGCACTCCGTCAGCTGTCAAGGGGCAGATGGGGCTGTGACACATGGGGCTCTGTGTCGTCAGCCAACTTTGACTGCCACTTCCTTCCCACAGTAAAGTCGGTGCCCATTTGTACCTCATCATGCGGTAATAATAATGATGATGATTTGTTTTTGATTTCACGAACTTTACGCCGGGCCGCCGCAGAGCGTTTTACATGTGATACGTGCTCGCTTCAAACATTGTAAAGGGCACCCCCAGTGGCAGGTTACTCAGCACCTGGCCTGCAATGGGGCATTAGTCTGCCAGTAGGTGGGGTGGGGGCGTTGATAAATGTACGTATTGGCCGTACACCGGTACAGCATAACACACCAGTCCTCATAAAAGTCTAAAATCTCAATTTGAATCTGCAAATCTGTATATCCCCAGGTTTGACGCGATTCGAAAGTTTATTCAGTCTACTGAGGTCAATATTGACCATTGATTTGGGTTCGTTGAATCGAGAAACCGTCTGACAAAGTCTAGCGCACGAGGAGTCAAATCTGCCTTTATAACACGAAGCAGCCAATGGTCATCAGGCTGGGTGCTGCTGCACAGCAACAGACTGTGAAGCTTCGTGTTTAGCCGCTCCTAACATTCGTCTTCCGACTGCTTCGACATCACGAGAACTGATTTTGACGCACTCCACAAGATTTTCTGACCTGGGTTTGTGAATCGCGGGAAAAGAAATCATGGTTGATAAAATGTCCTTTTCTTTATTTCCCGCAATACGTTCAAACGTATCCCATGACGCCGGAACACAAATGGCCCAATTAATTTCGACTGATATCAAGAGATCTCAAACGCCTACTGCGAAGCAGGCGGTGTATGCTTCACGGCGAATACGCCCACGGTTATAACCAGGGCCACCTGCCAGATTCGAACCGAGAGCCTCGGCAACAAGTCACCGCGCCAAGTAAATCATATGCCACCCCCTCCTCTCCCGGCGATTGGGTAAATGATCACAATTCAGCATAGTGGCTCGATTCAAGGATGAACAAATTTGTGTGTAATTGTTACCGTCTTGTTTGTATTGTTTATAATTCACGATATATCATTTGTACAGTCTTAATATTGATTTCAACTTTACCCAAAGTAGCCTAAATGTAGCAGCACAGGAAATACGTTGTACATAATAGTAAAAATAATCATTATAGACCCATTGTCAATCCACGACTGGATGAAAGGACTACCCGTGCCGTGTAGGTCGTGGGGGTTATTTGACCATACTTCACCATGCTGCTCGGTGTGGGGTGAAGCATGGTGGGGGTATGGGAGGCGAAGGCAGGACCGGTCTATAGATGACTCGCCACTGATGTTAGCTGTGGCCATGGATCGCGCGCCCACCAATAGGCACCACCACGGGCCCGAATTGCAAATACAGAAATCCCTCCTCATTTCTACGACTCGGGGGCTTCGTGCAGTGCCTCGAGTGGCCGCGGGGGTTCGAGTCGACCCGTTGAGGTACAAACACGACGGTGGAACTTCGACGAATCGGTGGTAACACGATTTTGGTTCCTGGGTAGTAAGTGTTCTTTTTTTAATTGCTTATGCCACAAAAGTATAGAAAATTCCTATTATTCCCCACAAACGTTTCTTTTGTGACCAGGACTTTATGTGAAGGAATGACACAAATGCAAACGTTTTCTCATTGAAAATACGTAAATTTCTGAATATCACTGTCCTGGTCAGTTATAATCCCTTCTAAATACGCGCAATTTGATACCCGGATACTCGCGCCGTGAGCTTACGCATCTATTTAAATCGATGAATCAATGCGTCGTTACTCACCGAATCGGGGCCCCCCTCCAAACTTGGTCAGGAAGAAGCTGAACGAGAGTTGTGGGGGGATGGGGGGGGGGTGCTTGGTGACACACATAAACTTTTGTTGTCCCTATGCGTAACCCCGAGGGCAGCTTGCGTGGCCGGCACCCCACCCACCCCACCCACCCCGTGCACAGCTCTCTGCTTTAAAAACAAATCCCTTGATATGCTCCCGAGAAGGAGCACATTGAACCGTGAGACACGTACAAATCACTGTGAGACACGTACAAATCACTGTGAGACACGTACAAATCACTGTGAGACACGTACAAATCACTGTGAGACACGTACAAATCACTGTGAGACACGTACAAATCACTGTGAGACACGTACAAATCACTGTGAGACACGTACAAATCACTGTGAGACACGTACAAATCACTGTGAGACACGTACAAATCACTGTGAGACACGTACAAATCACTGTGAGACACGTACCAATCACTGTGAGACACGTACAAATCACGCCAAGGGAAAGGGACCGCCAGAGTGACAATTAAATAAGAGAAGAAAAGTCAAGGGCGCAGCCCTGCAATTGTTTGCTCATGCCACTGCTGGTAGAAGGACCTCAACTCAAGAGAACTCCTGAGAGCTTCCTTCAGACGCAGCTACATTGGCCTGCACTTCCACGCAGGCGAGACTTGTTGTAAAACGTGAGAGTACCCACACTCTACTCCACCACACGTGACCTGCCGATTGATTGACTGTGGTGCAGGCGTTTATACTGCTCGGGTGGATGGACAGAGGCAGTGGGAATTTCAGGAACCTCGGGCGAACAAATACAAAGTATGAAGCTGTTTATGTGATTATATAAAAACGTATTCTACTTGTGAGCATGACCAGCAGTGGCCGTTAAAGAGCAATAAGGCCATTTTGTTAAACGGTCATCTAGCAGTGGATTTATATCACCATGACGAACGGTGATATAAACAGAAGTTGAGTAATTTATATCACCATGACTAACGGTGATATAAATTACTCAACTTCTGTTTGAAAAAAATGTTTCAAAAGAATAAGCCGAGTTGTTTCTCAGGCTTATTGTCGACGCGGTGACTGTGTCAAGGAACAACAGGTACACTTTCAGGTGGAAGGTCGCGGATATCGCGTAACCATTCTGTCACCTGCCGCAGATTGACAGGCGAGTACTGAGCTTCGTAAAGGACCGAGGCGACCTTCCTTTGCATGTGCGCACGCGTACTGCCATTATGTTGTGGCGTGGGCTGTAGCAGTGCAATATATCAGCCACATCAGCTCAAGCCTCCCGTAGATCACGTGACTTGCGTGTGGCCACACCGTAGATCACGTGACTTGCGTGTGGCCACACCGTAGATCACGTGACTTGCGTGTGGCCACCCCGTAGATCACGTGACTTGCGTGTGGCCACCCCGTAGATCACGTGACTTGCGTGTGGCCACACCGTAGATCACGTGACTTGCGTGTGGCCACACCGTAGATCACGTGACTTGCGTGTGGCCACCCCGTAGATCACGTGACTTGTGTGCGCGCACCCCTCTGCCGCTGCTGCCCGCCCGTGAAACTGGACACTGCTCCTCCTTTTTCTCTCCCCCCCCCCTCTCTTTCTTCCCGTCTCATCATCACCCTGTCAGCCCCGACGTCTTGGCCCGGCCATTCCTTCTCCCCTTCCTGCCCGGTGCTCTTCATTCTCTCCTCCTGCTGCTCTTCTTGATCTATGCCCTCCTCTTTGTCTGTCTTGGCGACTTCCATGTGGCTGCCCTTCCCTTTTCTGTTTCTTTTTATTTTTGTCATTCATTATAGTCCTTGACTCTGCTCCCCTTCCTGCAGTATGCCATGGGGGACACAGTTTTACAACATCTAAGTTACAAAGCATCCAAACCCAAATCTATCTCAAATAGACGCTGAAGAAGAAGAAAGGTATGCATCATTACAATATTTAGCTTCCGAGATTCGACGAGATCGGGTACATTTAGGGGGGTGCATTGTCGGTCAAAGGAGGCTTGAGGAGAAGAGGGTATCATGGGGAAAATTTGAATTCTCTACTGAGTGAGGCATGAGCAAGCACATTGATGTGGTCAGTCATAGGAGGTCTCTACAAATCCACTTTCAAATTATAAAAAATACAGTGTTCCAGTGTTGTATGTCATTTTTATATTTTCTGTAAATGCTCAGACCTAATCTCTTAATTATTAAAAAGGATATTTTAATTACAAGATGCTTTTTAAATCACATTATTTCATACGATACCTTCAGCTTCAGTATTACACCATTTCCTGAGCATTTTCAATATTTATATTTAGTACGTTAGAATAAATGAAGACACGTTACCCACAATGCTACACAGCAATGCATAGTGAGGGGCTTTATATATATTTATAGGTTGAACAAAAATCATGATTGAAAAAAATATATATTAATATGTCCTTTGTGTGTATAAATGTATTCGTATCTCACCAGGTGAAAGGTCACAAGGATAAGCATTTTAAGACACCGATTGGACTGGCGGAAATAAAACCTTGCCACAAGAAAAAGCACTATGGTAAGACTGGTAAGTGCATAGAGCTGCTTGCTGATAATTAGTGGGAAAGGCAAAGCTTGCATGACTCACATTGAACTTAACAAGTATGTTATTCACAGCCAATATTACTATTAAAAATAAATTTTTGAATTAGGCCACATAATGACCTCACCAAACGTATGTCGTGAGACCCACAGCGTAACTTCCATTCATGATTTGGCGATTGGTCACCTACCATGATTAATGTTCCGCATGATCTTCACCCATTGATAACTCCATGAAATATTCTATGAGACTGACTGTATTGTCTCATCCTGTGTTCAACCACCACACTGCAGATCTAAACACTTCCCTTTCTCTTTCTTTCCTCGCACTGCTCCGCTTTGCAATTCCCTCCCCACGTCTCTTTTCCCAAGCTCTTACAACCTCGCTCAATTCAAGAACTCTATTAACTGCTATCTAGTACGCACTCAAATAGTGATGTTTGTTGCTGGTCGCTTGATAAAACTGAACAAACAAATTAAGAAATGGCATGAAAACAAAAGATACAAACAATAAAAAAAAGTTATAACAGATAAATTCGTCCATTAAGTCTCCACATCCTTGACCACAATCCCAACTTCTCACATAAGGCAGGAAACCTACAGAGGAGCGGCGGTGGAGTGGCCAAAATAGTTACGACTAAATTAAACCGATCGGACAAACGTCCAAAACGTGAAATGATCCGATTTGTGTCGTCGGCGCGACTGTGCAGATCCCGATGACTCCGAGTCGGACAAATCGGACGACGCGATCGAGCAGCTGAACAAGGAGAACTCGCGCAAGTCGCGGCCGCCGATGGGCGCGGCCGGCGGCGACGGCGCCGCCGCCGGGCTCGGCCAGAGTCGCAGCTGGTCGGTGCGAGCCGCCGTGGAGCGAGTGCAGGCCAAGGTGACGCCGGGCAACGCGCCGCTGGCCAGGCCCGGCGCCCGCAAAACCAAGAGGGATGTGAGCGGCGTGAACGGCGACGACGGCGACGACGACGAAGAGGGCTCGGTGACGGAGAAGGAGACGGACGAGGAGTCGCCCGTGGCGGGGGACAGCGACACGCAGAGCGAAGGGGCAGTCGCGAAGGGCCCCGCCGCCGTCAATGGGCGACCGACGGACGACGAGGCCCACGTGGACATTGCGAGAGTTAGGAAAGGCTCGCTCGTGGCGGAGAAAGCTGTCGCCGCCGCTGCTGCTGCCGTAGAGCCGCCTCCTGTTCTGCCGAGTCCTTGTAAAGACTTCTCGGCAAAGTGAGATGCGCGCCGAGTGATGGTCCCCAGCAACCAGCCCTCCAGTGTCCCCAACCGCCGTTACAAGAACAAATCACGAAAACCGTCAGGTCGCCCAGACCCGTTATCGACGCCGTCTTGTGGCGCTGTCGCATTTAGATGCTTTATACATTTAAATTGTGTGCTCTTTTGCTGCAGAGCTTGTGCTGAACCAATACAAATAGTTAAACAAAAACACATAATGCCTTGTTGGCCATGGTACATAAGCACATATAGCAAACACTGGCCCTTCCCTGTATGGCATTGTCATTGACGAATGTGTTGAGGTTTTTCTTTAAATCAATTGCCTGTTTGCTGTGATATCAAAAGCAGTCGGGGCCTGCGTTCAATAATCTCTCCATGTGTGTTACCCCTGTCCCAACAACCCCGCCGCCCCATCGTAAAGGTCGCAGGACAAAGGCCCACCGAGCTGCACGAATTCCCAGGGTGCGGAAGGCGGAGAGGACAAGAGGGAGGCAGACACCAAGAAGAGGGCGACCGAGGGGAAAGATCCCAAAGAGGACAGCAAGAAAAGCAAAGTCGACGATGTGAAGGTTGCGCCCGTTGTCACCCAGACAAAGGAGCTGAAGATAAAGAGCAAAGCCTCTCCGGGCGAGGCCCCCAGCAAGACACCGAGCGAGGCTCAGAAGAAGTCACCGAGCAAGGCAACGTTGGGCGATGGGCCGAGCTTACCGACGGGCGGCGCTCCGAGCAAGGGGCCGAGCGATGGCCGGAGCAAGCCGACGGGCAAGGGACTGCGTGAGACTGAGAGCAAGGACTCGAGTGAGACTCAAGTGGGCACGGTTCAGGCCGAGTCTGAAGAAACGCCGAACTCAGAGGCTTCCGACGACGTTATAGGTTTGTAGTCCGTGACCGCTCACGGCCCGCGGGCAGCGAACCGGGTTTTTTGGTTCAGTCGCATGAAGGTGGCGCGCACGCGATGCCATCGCTCGAGCCGATAAGTCGTGATGCCCACCGCGAGCACTCGAGCAATGGTAGAAGTAAAGCGTGTCAACTCTGGACTATCCCACTCGTCATGTGTGGGAATGATATTCTAAGCAGGTGATCAAGTGCCATTTACTATGCAACACGCATGCACTTATTGTTGCTGTTTGGTCGAGACCGGTGGTGTAGCGTGGTTGGCATGGCACCCCCCCCCCCCCTCTCCTGGGCTCTCCCCTAGGTTGACTCAGCCTCAAATGAGTACCTGGTGCAATGTGTAAATATCACCACTCGTGAGACAAAGGCGGTGATGCTGACCACAACACCCCCTCGTGTGCCACGCCGGCACTTTGAATGAACACGATCTGTCGAAGGCTACGTGGGGGATCTTTGCGGATGTTTGTGTGTGTGTGTGTTTGCGATTTAGATGACTGCCCTCCACCTCCGGCTCCATTTGAACACCGCATGGTGGTGCCACAGAGCGAAGCGGTCAGCACCTCCTACTCCATCAAGCAGAAGGATGTGCTCGGAGGGTGAGAGTGCACACAGCTCGCAATTCTGGGGAACAACGAGTGACGACTCGTCGTGCGCACGCCCCGCGTTCTGTAATGCTCTCCAGCTGTGCGCACGTCCTCGGAAGTTTTTTAATTAGCGACGATAACGTCACCTTACTGAGCCACGTCACACTGAAGTGTGACGTGTGACGTCATCGCTCTGGCCCACAAGGCTTCTTGATTTTGATTTAAATTTTGATTTAAAGCTTTCGTGACTGCAGTAATTCATATTTTTAGTTCTTTCGGTAAAGTCACGTTGAAGGGAACTAAGAATATGGCTTCTTGATTGTCGCTCTTTGTCGTCGCCAAGTTGTAGGCAACACCTCACCAACACTTTGTACCCTCCGCTAGGGCCCGCAGCTGTTACACTTCACGTTTAATGTTAGCACTCATAATAAAGGTTTTTGGGTTAGATCGCTATTATGGATAAATTTGCTGTTAATATGAACGACACATTTATACGTTAACGACACTTATGTAATTTAAACCAAAAACCTTTTTTTATTGAGGCTATCACTCCTGCAATGAGATGATAACTGAGTTGTGCCTATGCACGCAATCAATTTCTTTTTCTGTCCAATCCAACATCAAATAATCAGACTTAAAGCGCACGAGGGAAGTGTACAATCTGCCGTTATGGAAATCTCACGGAAGTTGTTTCCACGGATATCTAAAGTGGCCAATTGGTACTGCCAAAACAGCTTCGAAATGTAGTCTTCTTATTTCATGTAAACGATATGTCGCAATGAAAGCACACACGTTCGCCTGTTGTCGCAGGGGACGGTTTGGACGAGTCCACAAGTGTGTCGAAAGAACGTCTGGAATGACGCTGGCTGCCAAGGTCATCAAAGCTAAAGGAGTGAAGGAAAAGGTGAGTGGCACAGCGCGATTCGTGATGAATACGACCGCACTTGCGATCGTGATTTGTAACTTTCATTCAACTTGAATGTGCCATTTTATTGTGGGACTGTGTGTTGTTGTCTTGGTGTGGTCTGGGACTGTTTTTGATGTTGTTTTGCTGCTGTGACCAAGCTTGGGGTTTGATGTACTCATGCAATTGGAATTGATATACGTTATTTATTTGTATTTATGAATATATTTTTAGGGATATGATTACAATTTTCTATACTTTGTACTCCTATCGTATTTCAGAATTGCTTGTTTTAATTTTCTGACCTGCCACTCCTATTGGACATCTGTTTTGAAAAAGAGCTTCATAGCTCAATGGATTTTTCCAGGATAAATAAATATTCTGATTCTGTCCGTGATGGCAAATCACGTGACATATGTGATGTCACGCTCAAAGCCAACCCAGCGACGTTCTGAAAAATATCGAGTTAGAACATAAGCCCCGATCATCGTAATAGTCATCTACAATTTGACATCGCATCGTCTCGTAAGTATACAAAACGAATCCAAAGGCCCAACGGAAAAACAAGGAAGCACAATTTGACAGAGCAATGTGTTGAGCTCATGGTACACATGGCAGTAAATACTAAACTAACACGTAGAACAACTCGTGTGCAGTGACAGCAACGAGTTACACATTGTGTGGTCAGGGAGCAGATTCCATGGCTGTGGCGCCGTTGCCGAAACATTCACCTGTAAAGCCATCCGTTTGTTCATTTGTCTTGTTCCTTTGTCTTGTTCCTTTGTGTTGTTCCTTTGTGTTGTTCCTTTGTGTTGCTTCTGCTGGGTGCTGGTTGCACTGTCACCAGCATTGCCGCGGTGTTGCTGTCGGTGGTGAGACGTTTACTACCTCGCCTGGTATACAGGGGGTTTGATCCCGACCCTGACGCCTCTATATTTGGAGTTTGCATGTTTCTCTCTCCGTGATTGCGTGGATTTACAACCTCGCTCAATTCAAGGACTCTATTTAGGGTATTTGGCTGCTGCTGTAAATGTCCACGTGACAAGCCACGTCATTGAGCTATCATGTTATGGCCAGGTCGCTTCTGAAAAAGAGCTACATAGCTCAGTGGGCCTTACCTGGTAAAATAAAGTTAATAGAAAGTAGTAGTTTCTCTGAGCATGAGAGAAAATTCGTCCTTCCTAAATTATGTTTAATCGTGATTCACCTTACAGATAAGAAAATGTATTTTCATTTATCTGTGAATTACAGGATCTGCCAATAGTGCCTCCCACGTGAATACAGATATGAGATGTTTTACTCTTACAGGATGATCTATCTATAGCTTATCAACTAACAGAATATGGAGAAAGTATACAGAAAACTACATTTTTATTTAAAGTCTCTACATGTCTCCCGCCAAACTCAATACACCTGTTACATCTTCTAACTTTCTCCTCTGTAACATATGGAGCCATCACTTTCATGATATTCAATCAGGTGTTAAGAATATAGTGTGAGGGTCATAAATCATTGGGGTATCGATAGATGAATCGCCTGATATACACATTTCTTTCACTGACTGAGCATGGTAAGCACTGCACTACAAATCCGGCCACCCAAGTTCAATTCCCGTTCATGGCCAACACCAGCGACAATTATCTGAAGCGGTCCTGGGTCTCCCCTAGGTTGACTCAACCTCAAATGAGTACCTGGTACGGTGTGTAAACATCGCCACTGGGGAGACAATGGTGGCCGGGCATGGTGCTGGCCACCCACCCCTTCGTTTGCTGTACCAGCCTTTATAGGTACTTGCTAATTGCATTTGCCCCAACATTCTGTTAAGGCTATACGGGGGATATTTGTTTTATTTTTGTTTGTGGGCACCTATTAGGTGCTAGTTTACAGCACTTGCCCCAACAGTTTGTGCGAGCTACATAGGGGATCTTTGCCTCTATGTGTGTGCGCGTGCGAGCAGGACGAAGTGAACAACGAAATCAGCATCATGAACCAGCTGAAGCACAACAACCTCTTGCAGCTGTACGACGCGTACGAGTCCAAGAATGACTTCGTCCTCATTATGGAATAGTGAGTGGCTCGTAAACGCACGCACTCACGCGCACGCACACACGCGCACGCACGCGCACGCACGCATGCAACACGGGGCGGCCCGTGGGCACGGAGGCATTTCCCTTAAATCTGACACCCGGCCCAAGGTGCCATCTTCCCACTCCCACTGTTGCGGCCCCAACAAAAATCGTAAACCACCAACTGTTTGGTGGTGCCTTGGTGCAGCTGTCCCGCCCGCGCCATCCCGGCCCGTGCCACCCCACTCACGCCGGAGGGGCGGGGTGTTTCATGAATGCCGTTGATCATATTTGTGATGAGCAGGTAAGCATCGTACTCAGATTTAAAATGCTGGGGCTTCGCTCTCCAACACGCCGGTGTGCTGTACGAGTAACGAATTGGCATGTTCTGTTTACATGACAAACCTTACTAATTGGCTGTGGTGGGTTTAACGACGCATTTAGATATGTACACGATCTAACCCAAAAAAAAAACTTGTATTATGGATGATATTGGTCGCAAAAGCCTACGTGTTAAACTTTTTTACGTTTTTGTATGGGCCAACCGGGCCCCGAATGGCCGAGCCTCCCCTGGCCGCACACATTCACAGCACACAAAACCACCCTTCGATTTGTCACGCGTGTGACATGGTTAGGCGTGAGGACCACATCTGGCTCTTTTACAACGCCGAGTGTAATACAACGCCTATTCATTTCACGACAGTTAAAAACAAACTCCGTTTTGGAGTCGTAAAGATGGAATATATAAGGTTGCACTTTAAATATATGTGCACTATACGGCCTGCCTCTTCACATCTGCAGCCCACGCTCACCGCCTTCACCAGCCTCCATTGACCAGCGTGGTTTAGTTTGGTCAAATAACCCCCATGATCCCGCACTGCGTGGGGAGGCCCTGATCCAGCATCGGATTGACAAAAGGGCTGTATGTGTACGTATACGAACTGCGTGGCTGTGCAGTGATGCACACACTACGCGATGAACCTGGCAACCCGAGTTCGATTCCCGGCCGTAGGCAACGTCTCTGGTGGAGGATATACCAACACCCGCCATTCGCCTCTAAGTGACGGCCAATACACTACGGCGCCTGTGCCAGGATAGGTGCACTTTGAGGCCACGTGATGCATCGAAGGCTCGCTGACAGGAGGTCTACGTGCAGACCCAGGTGCCAAGGTTTGGCTGACTGAGATGACTGATAGATGCACCAACTGTACCCCCTACTGTGCAAACTTGCTGCATTTTAGCCGCCCGGCGCTCCGCTCATTGTTGTGAGCGTCACTCCTCTGCCCTCAGTTGTCGTTGGAGGGCGACTGCCTCCAGATGCCCAGTAGCAGCGTCCTTCACGAGTCCCTTCCACAGAGGCCGATCTTGACACCGCTGGCACCGGATTTATGCACCCACACTGACTAACGTGGTGAAGTGTGGTTAAACAACGCCCATGGCTGACACGGTGTGGGAAGGTCTTGATACTGCAATGAGTTGATAAACGGCTGTAAATTATTATTTATGCACGGTGTATGCCAAGTTAAAATTAGAACATCACTTCCTGGAACCGTTTTATTACTAAGGCACCGAATCTAATAGAGGCAGCGAAAAAACAGATGATGCCATAAGGTAAATCTAAATTTCTTAACTACTACCAAAAACACATTCAGCCCAAAGTGTGCCTGTCAGATAGATTTTAAGCTGCTCTCTAAAATTAATGTTAAATAATCTCATGTTCGCTCTAAGACATGTGTGCATATGTCATACGCACTTGGATGTGAGTCTGTTCACCTTGAAGAATTCCTAAAATGACATTTCTATGCTGTCTCAAATGATTATTTTCTCAATTTATCTGTCTCCACAATACGAAGCACAGCCATTGCTCGAAATATCACCTGTTACATATCTGTATTTTCCTCTTTGCGGGAGTGTTATTGACGAACGTGTTGCGTTTCTGTTGAGTGTGCTTGTGGTCCACTGCCAAAGCAACATCACACATATTTGTTGCGATGGATTTAGATTGGTTCATATCGGCTTAGGGAAATTCACACTGAGTAACACCGTCCACAAACTGCTTCTTGTGTGCACGGAAAACTCGCCAATGATGCCTTGAGGAAAGACGACCTGAGGGAGGCAATAACGGTCCACTCCTCATCGACTCTCTGCAGCATACACGGCGGGGAGCTGTTTGACCGCATTGTGAGCGAGGACTACAATCTCACCGAGCTGGACGCCATCATCTTCATCCGGCAGATCTGCGAAGGGATCCACTACATGCACCAGCAGTACATCTTGCACCTGGATCTCAAGGTGCGCCACCTGCACCTCCCACACCGCACTTGGGACTCACCGCTGCAGCTAATCCCACGGCAGTTCGTGGCCCATACACTCGACTTTGGCCACAGTTCGCATGGTTCACTCAATTAATACATTTGTATTTTACGTGCCAATATCGCCCTCAATAAAGTAGGCATCAGTGCACATTACAACGGTCCGCTCCTTGGCAGGTGCCCAGCCAACTCTGGGTATGGTGGGTGACTGGACACCCCCAACATTTTTCGGTAATACACACCCTACAAAAATACGACGACACAAAACCCTGGCATTTCTGAAAAGGTGACAGAAATTCTGGTTATGCTGCTGATGGAATCTTTAAATACACACAAGTGCACGAACTGTAGGCTCAGTGCTGAGTCACGGATCCTATCTGTCATCTCCAAAAGGACCAATCATGATGACGATGCCTCCATATTACAAATGATGGCCATGCTCGCTGGTCCTGGGTGTGATATGAAACTGCATCCACTGATGGTGCTACCCAAAAGAAACACCGGTGAGGAAGGGAAGCCACCTTAACTCTCCCTCGCTTGTTAGGGCTCAGGAACTCTGATGCAGGGTGTGGCATTCCATGGCTAATAGTGGGGAGCAGAATCAAATGTGATGCAAAGAGCCTGAACCGTGGACATGAGCCTGCCCTTGGCAAAATTCCATAGTTTAGCCAGGGCAATGTTGGTGTTATGGCGCTTGTCTATGATTGTATGCATCCTTTACAGGGCCAAGTGAATGCCCTGGTGCTTGTATCATTGGCTGCTGTAGAATATCAAGACAGCTGGTAACTCCTAAACCTCCGAGGGATTTTGTGCTTAGCAGCAGTACAGATTGTATTTTTAGCTTAGGCTTTCAGAAAGTGTTGCTGATATTACGTATTGTATCAGGGATGTTGCCACGGTGTAATGGTCAGCGGCACAATGGACTTGCAATGCAGCGGTCGTCAGTTCAGTCTCCCAGCGTGCCAGTTGAAACAATGGGAGAGATTCCCCAACTCCTCTGTCCACCCACGACCATCGATCGATAGATCATAAGTCACGTGGTAAGGTGTGGGCACTCACACCTCTTAAAAATGTCTGGCCAGTGTGGGGAACTCGGCACAAATCCCCTTTTAGATGGGTACCTAGAGCTCCCACAATTTGGAGGCCCTTCTGCCAGCGGTGGTGTGAGCGAGAAATTGCAGGGCTGCACCTTTTTATAGTTCCAGCATGTTTGAGTGACCCTTTGTTTGTCTTCTTTCCTCTCATTGCTGTTCTATCATTCAGCCAGAAAACATCCTCTGCGTCAACCGGAAAGGAAACCAGATCAAGATCATTGACTTTGGCCTGGCCAGGAGGTGCGTCTGCAACTCAGTCTGCCCGACGTATATCAGCGTGCGACGCTAAGTTAAATAGAATTAAACGCAGCCTGATAAACATCGTGTGCAAAATATTTCCGTGTACATTATTTTGATATGTAAGTGTTTCCCCTTTTTACACGAGTTATTTTTCTTTCCAATTCTTATAGAACCGTTAACAAAAACGGTCGTGGTGTCATTGTTATCGTTTGGAAAGAATCCAGCATACTGCGCTGAGGTGTCATCAGGCCGAACTGCTGTAAGAACTACATGGAATTAAGTGGAGGCCTTGTTGATAATCTGCTGCTGGATGACGATCTCCCCATACCATCTAGGCCATGGCGGCTATTTACCCACACTTGGTCAATGCGGGTCGGTGAAGGCAAAGGAGTGCAGACTTTTGGAACATAGTGCAGTACAACATAGTGCAGTACAACAACGGATGTGTGTATTCAATCATCATCGCCTGATGATGATTGCTTGTGTTGCAGTCGAAACGTTGTGAGAATTTTAATGTTTTATATTTTTATTATTTTATTGTTTCCCTTCTACGTGACTTTACCGACAGAACCAAGAATATGAATCCCTGCAGTCATGAAAGCTTTAAATCAAAATTTCACGCATGTGTGCCTCATTTTGCTCTGCTCACAATGGAGCCTAGCAGCTACCTACAACACCTGTTTTGTGCGTGTTAGTCGTGAATCCGAGTAGTATCCAGGCTCAAACCTGCTTAGCTTCCGAGATTTGATGAGGCCGGACGCATTCCCAGGTGATTTAGTCATTAGGAAAATTCAATAATTATACCATTGTTATTTACCAAAAAATCAACCCCTGCTGTGTGCTACAGGTATAAGCCGAGGGAGAAGCTGAAGGTGCACTTTGGAACCCCGGAGTTCTTGGCGCCGGAGGTGGTGAACTACGACTACGTCTCGTTCCCCACCGACATGTGGTCTCTGGGAGTCATCGCCTACATGCTGTGAGTCGCGTCGCTTCTCCCCCACGACATCCGTGACCTCACGCGGAGCCCCAGCGAATTGCATCTGAGACTTGGGGCGCCACGCTGTTGAATTTGCGCTTGGTAAATTATTGATCATTCAGTCCTCGATGCCAGAAGCTCGGTTTAGAGGCAGTGTGCAACGTAAATATTGCGGCGAGATTGTAACGAGCACGGGATTGCGCCGAGAGGGCGAGGAGGAGGCGGAGGCTTCGTGCTCGTTGACTCGTTGACTGGCAGCGACGTTTTATTTTTGTTGTTCCCCCAGGCTAAGCGGGCTGTCCCCCTTCATGGGCGAGGACGACAACGAGACCCTGACCAACATCGTGAACGTCAACTGGGACTTTGACGACGAAGCCTTTGAGAACGTGTCTGAAGAAGCCAAAGATTTCATCTCTCGGCTACTCATCAAGGAAAAGAGGTATTGCACCAACTTTACACCTTGTGAAGTTTCTTCATTTTGTTTGATTGAATATTTTTTATGGATTACATTTTTTTTTTGCTCGGGTCAATATGTTAATTATTCGTGTCACTACAATGGTGACAGTTTTTCACTTCCTCTTGATTGCACTTCATTTTGCGCTTGCAATTTACTTTGCTCAGTCAGTGTTAGCCGCTGAGGTCGTGACAGGTTTCCTTTTTCATTCCTGTTGCTCTATGCCCCCTGTAGCGTTCCTGTTCTGCTGTAATGTACACCGATGCGCGACTTTATTGAGGCCGCTGTTGGCAGGCAAAATAAAGATTCATTGATTGACAAGGGGCGCACTGTATTTTTAGAACACGAGCAAACAATGGTCATAAATACAGCTTCTTTTTCAAAGTTTAATCGAATTCACCACCCTTCCCACTGCTGTATGCCTTCATCTTATCGCTGTATGAGTCCTCCTGATGCCATGTCAGTCCTGGGGATTGTTTGACCAAACTTTACCACATTTGTCTGTATGGGTTGGTGAAGGCATGGTCCCAGGATCGGTTCATATATCCCGTCGCTGATTTGAGCCAGGATTAGGAAATTATTTCAGGTCGCCAGGATCATTGGGTAGTGCACTAACCACTCGCCAGAGGTTGAATAACCATTTCTAAAATATACTATTCAAAAAAATGTCCCGCACCTCCCATTAGCAAGGGTGGCTATGCACGGTGCGAAAAAAGTTCAAAATAAATGCATACATAATTAGTTATTTACACAGGGTAACATCAAGTGTTTGGCCTTATCAAGTTGCAAGTCATGGGGAGAATCAGGGGGCATTGGCCCTTGTAGAAAGCAGTACCCCCCCCCCCCCCCCCCCACTGAAAATCTAAATTGTGACGGAGTGAAAGTGCTCCCAGTGTTTTGCCATCGCCTTGCTAATGTTCAGTGGCCACTGCTTTATATCTGCTTGGACACTATGTGAAATCGGACTGAAAAAAAAAGAACACTTCACAAACGTAATTGTTTAATATCAATTGGACAGACATGTGGGTCATAGATTTGATAGACTAGATCCACATTCAGTGGTCTATGCTGAGCTGTGCACAATCACTGGGGAAGGGACAAATTTGAATCGGACCCCAAAAAACGAAACCCATGTTCCTGCCATGCCCCCAAGAGAAAGCCAGGGACGGTATGTGAGCAAGAGGTAGAATGTAGGGGACACTGACAAGCTTGGCAATCCAGAGTGGTTATTTAGAGGCTAGTGTGGCGTGCAGGCAATTCCATTTTAACGCACGAGATAAAATGCCCTCTACTCTGGCGCAGGCCTGAATGTCAGAGGGCGAATTGAAACGGGGATACCGGGGCCTGTTGCACGATAGGGGGTAAGCATTGCATGTCACCATGCCATTGTCATGTGGTGCTTATTGCGGTGGCTGCAGCAACAACAAAAAAGAGTATGAAGTGTGAACAGTTGTTGCTGACATTACTGGTGGCAACAGGGGCAATATATACTGTATACTGCAGTGCTACATGTGTTTAGAACATGCGTAATAACTAAATAAAATACAAAAATTCTAGTCTATCCCCTTTTTCAATGCTTTCTGGGATAAAATCCCCTTGTGCTAAGCTGGGTAGGGTTAATCTTCATCAATATTGCATTTGGATGATGATGATAAAACATTCAGAGAATACCTAAGACATGTGTTTTACATTTGACACTGCACATTTTCCAATTCATCATCGGCAATTATGCACTGCTGGATAAAGGCATTTCAGGCTTGCACAGTGACATCGTTATTGAGTGTGCAGGCTTTGAAACTGCACCGGGATTCACAGAGCAGAGGGGCTCAGGCTCTGGGCTATGAATAGGGGTGAATGTGGACAAGGCGCCCCAAATCATCCCTTGCACCAAGATCCATGCAGTGGCGCTGGCTTGTAGTAAATGTTACCTAGTACAACATTATTTTTCCTGTTCATTCTGCACTCGACTGGTAAGAAATGAATTTAGTCTCATAAACTCAGCACTTTTATAGACTGTACCATGTCCAACATTTGTAGTTTGTCGTGGAGTATTTTATATACAGTATATATACTTTGTTCTTCCCCATTTTTATAATGATTGTGCCGTCAGCGTCATGTCGTGAGACGAAGCATCTATTCGGATCTCTCGCACAGCAGTTGCAACCCCCGAGTCTTAGAGAATGGTCCACGTAATCGGATGCTTCAGAACTACATCCGAGGTCCCTTCAAGCTCTACCCCTGGTCCACAAAGTAGTAGCGGACAGCATTTCCCCACGTGCCTCTGCATACGAGAGTTCATGTTCATCGCATAACTGTCCTCCCGATATTCTCATTCTCAGAGCTGAAATTTTGCCCAATTAAATTTCACAACCAATTTTTTTCTCGTGATGATTTTTTGCGTGTGATGTTTTAGCTTAAACCTTGGCCTCTGTTTCCCCCCCTGCAGTGGCCGAATGAGTGCGTCTCAGTGCCTGAAGCACAATTGGTTAGTCAATCTCTCGGAGCGCGCAAAGAAATGTAAGGTTCGCCTCAAGTCACAGCTGCTTCTGCATACGTACATGGTGCGACGGATGTGGAAGGTACATCTCATTCGTGTCCAGTAAATGTTACTAAATAACCTCACGAGCTAATTCAATAACAGTTTCAAATTAATTGTTTAGTTATGTTAACAAAATGTAACTGTCAACATTAATCCATATACTCCCTCATGTAATAATTCCACGAATGTTTTTTTTCTCTACTAAGACTAAAATCCTAATTGTTCACCCTCTGTCTTCCCTAACATTTATATTTTAAGTGTTTTAATCCTCTCATGTAATCACCGATGATGCAATAGTGTAACAATTTGAAAGTCCATTTGTAATTAATGACTCAATTACAAGCATTTTCTGCAAGGCGATTAGGTCATTTGATATGGTATTGATTTAGCTCCTGTTATATATAAAAGACAAAATGCGATTCCAGCCAAAACGTAATTCACGTCGTATTAAGAAGATGTACCATGACCAAAATCTGACCGCAGCGTGCACCATGTCCACTGGGGCATTGAAATTTGAGAACATAACTTTCCGCTTGAAGTGCTCGCTTTTGCAACTCTTGCGTTACGAATGCACATTACAAAGCAGGCAACGTATGAGAATATATTAACTAAATTCCAGAAACTCAACACATTCGTCAATAACACTGCCCGGACAGGAAATAATGTATAGGCGACGTTTCAGGCAATGACCCTTCATCATAGAACGTCGCATCTGTGTGCTTTTTTTTTTCCTTTGAGGGCAGTGTTATTGAAGGATGTGCTGAATTTGTGCAAATGCGCCTCTGCCAGTGAATGCAACATCACATGTTTCTCTCTAAATTCTGCTCTATTTACAAATTGCCCGCAATAGAACACTCGAATACAAATCGCCACGCTTCAATTGCTTTGCTATACAATTTGTCACGGATTGCATTTAAGTTTCGGAACGGTGGCGGTGCGAATGATTTTACAGAGACGGCTTAGACTGCTCTCTCTCTCTTTGTTTGCCATCCGGTAATGGTGAGGTTGTCAGTCGCGGGATAGTGGCGCAGAGCCCATTGTTGTACTTTACTTACCGTTCACGCCTTCGCACGCGCTAACCGGCGTGGGGTGAAGTGCGGCTAAATGGCCCCGCACGTGGCGTGTGGAGTCCCGCATCCAGCAGTGGACTGACAAAGGGGTGCTGCACACGAACGTGGTGGCTCGACCCGACGGCATGTGCGTAAGGACTTGTTTTTTCTTTGTTATTCCGCCAACTGATCGGAGCCCAGTGTTGGTAGTGATACAAGCAGACGGCGTTGCGTCATCCTACGAGACTTCGCCTACGAACAAGAACACGGTTAATTACCGGGGTGATGAAATCTCTTTGCCGAATCAAGGTGGTCTTTCGAACTCGTTTCGGAGATTTATAATTTATTTACTTTCTGTCCCCCCCCATCCCCACGGTATAAGCCGGCATTCACTCACACTAATACCTGCAATCGAAATTCACTCACACTAATACCTGTAATGGAAATTCACTCACACTAATACCTGTAATGGAAATTCACTCACACTAATACCTGTAATGGAAATTCACTCACACTAATACCTGCAATCGAAATTCACTCACACTCACACTAATACCTGTAATCAAAATTCACTCACACTCACACTAATACCTGTAATCAAAATTCACTCACACTCACACTAATACCTGTAATCAAAATTCACTCACACTAATACCTGTAATGGAAATTCACTCAACACTGGCTGGCCTACACCTGCAGAGAATACAAGAAGAGTATCGCTTACTAAGCCTTCTGGTCTGCAATTGTGTTTGTGTTAACATCACTTGCCGTGTCTTTCATTGTTCCCCGTTGCTTTTTGCACATTAATGCAGTGAATCCCCTCGTGCCCACACTGATATTGGGGGTGTTAGGTGCAGATTTTATTATCCGTGCTGATTCAAACATTTTACTCCGATCAGCAGCCGATCGGCAGAATGCATGTGGTGGGGTAAAGTGTGGGTACCCCCACCTTCAAGATGTTTGACCGGCGTGGAAGGGTAGGCCATTAACGCACAGGAGAGGTTTTCTAGAGCTCCCTCTCGTAGTGTGAGCAAGTAATTGCAGCCCTGCACCTTTATTTTTATTTACTAGAGAGTGGATAACCGTATGAACAACGTTCTGAGTGGATTTTAATCGGGTGAAGTCCACCAGATCGAAAAGGATGTATTTGCCACAACTTGTTGGTTCCTCCTCTTATCCGTGCTTGAGTGTGGATAACAGGAATAATGGATTTGCAGGTAATAGCAACAGTTGGGAATAGAGTGGGCACACGAGATGTTTCACTGTGCTGTATTCTGTTTATGCTGTGTGTTATTTTGTGCTATTAAATGTTGGGAGATTAAATGTTGGGGGTGATGATGTAGAGGATGGTAATATATGGAACTTGCTCTGACTTGCATCACCAAGAAAGCGTTTCATGCGCATTTTGCCTATGTGTAATGCGCTTAGTTGGAATTTACTGAACGTTGTTGAATATCCAAGAATGTGTAAATGTTCAAAAGCATTATTATTGTCTATATAAAAAAATATGACTTCAAGCTCCTGTTTAAAAATAAATTGTATAGATATAATGTGCAATGTTTTGCCGTTATTCCCATGTTGCCGGATAGCTATTTATCAGTAGCTTTATAAGTGGCATGGTGTGGTGGTTGGCATGGGACTGGCACAGGGGGTGTTGCCTGGCATCTTCAGTCCCTCGGGGCCCGTGGGACCCGGTGCAGTTCCACCGCCTGCACACCTGATAGATACGCCATCGCTCTCGTTCATGACAGACCTAAAATTCACACATAGATAGCTCCACCAGGTTTTAAATAGGCCTCCTCTAAATCGTGAATTGTGCCCTCATATGTACAAGAGATTAACCTTAAATCCATCCCAATTAGTGATTTTGGTAAATGTGTGTTTTTATTGGAGTGCTAGGATCAAGTGTAGCTAATAAATCTATTGTATACTACGTGATATACAACATTATTAACTTTCCAATTAACCTTTCCACATGCCCTGGAGTGAAATCTACCCCTCTCTAATAATTAGAGAGGGGTATTTAGGCTAATCCATACTCAGCGACAAATCACCTTTTTGATATCACTTGCCCGCAATGCATGTGATGTGCAATGGACATTTGGTAAAGAACTCGATTAAAATAAACAATTAGGTAATTGTATTTACATAACGACTATAAGCTCAGAGGCTCTCATATTATACAGAATGCTCTCTAATATGGGCAACGTTAATGAAATGAATGTACTTAATAATGTATGCATTACAGTATAGACATGTCAGTTTTAACAATTACAGCCAATGGAATTAAACAGGAATTTCATGGGCTTCTTTATGCCAGGGCTTCTGTTTTCCTTGGTTGCACATTACACGTGATTGCAGGTATGTGTTTCCAGTCTCATTTGAAGTGTGCGCTTCTTTATTTTGACAGAAAAACTTCTTTGCTGTAACAGCGGCGAACAGACTTCGCAAAATCAGCAGCTCCACCAGCCTGGCCTTGGAAGGAAGTGAAAAATGAAATCAAGTTGTTCAGTGCATTGCTCAGCTCTGCACGAGTCACTCAGATGAGCTTGTTTTTTTAAACCATTTTACCCAAAAGTACCTCGATCGTACTAGCAGCGTCATGTGACAGAACTAAGTATCCATTCGGATCTCCTGAAGTGCAGTGCCACCGTTCGTGTGCGAGAACGGCCCACGGAAGTAGATATCGCAGAGCTGCCTCTGAGATTGTTTAAAATTGACCTCTGGTCTAAACGTGGCTTGATTTCTAAATTTCAGTGAGCTCCAATCTCCACAAAAGATGGAATGAGTCTGGCGTTCATGAAGTCAGGCGTGTGCTCAAGATGTATGCGGCTTTCAAATTGTGCAGGCATTTTAATGTGGAGCCTCCTCACTTCCGTCACTTGGTTCCACTCCCAATGTAGCAAATAAAAACTAGTTTTAGGATTAGTGCGATTTAAAGAAAATCCATGTTTTGCAATGGAAAGATCATGTATTTGTAAATCACGCATTACTAAGCATGTAAGAGTAGGCCAGATATCCTGTAGATGGGCTCTCCAGAGCTCCCTGACGAGAGCTCCCCCTAGTGGACGCCCTTCCGCCTGCAGTGGTGGGAGAAATGAATGCAGGGCTGCACCTTTACCGGTCCCTTTTACACGACAGTGTTTGGGTATGCGGAAATTTTACGTGATATTTTCTGATTGAGTAATTGGTTAGCATGCACTGTTTAGGAAACGCAACGTTGAATAAAGTTGTTTTCGTGGAATTTATACACTTTACTATCAATAAATTGTAATTTTATTGTACATTATATCTGGATGGTTTTATATTCCTATCATGAAACTCTAGGGTAATGCAATACCAAACAAAGCTTTTGACATTCAATATAAATTGAAGCTTGGAGTGGTTTATCTGAATTTTTTTTACATTTAGCATGTTCGACTTATTTTTTTGTAACAACATAGCAACTTGAGTATTTAATTACAATAGTGAATTACTAAGTAAATCTGAATTTGTGCAGGCATTGTCTTTTATATGAGGAAATTATAACTGCTATGAGGATGCATATATTATATACGTCAATTAATTTGCACATGCCTCTCTCCCTGTTTGACCTTTTGTGTTACTGCTGCATAAGCACACGTACAGGAGAGAAACCCATTGATTGTAGAGTGCGGGTTAGATCGAACTGCCTCCGCACACCAGCCACAAAGCACCAGCGATGTCCATATTTAATCCACCTTCCCTATGTACGAGAGGGAGTGCTCTTGCCAATAACGCCTGGACATCTTATCAGTATTTTAACACAAGAAGCCTCTGCCCATAAGACTCAAAGTTTGCTTGTTTAAACAAATGCTGCTGGAAGACCATTTGGCTTATGGGATGAAAAAAATATATATTTTTACGTGGAGTGACAGAGAGTATGTTAATTTATTTTATTCTCCATGCACATATCGGCTAGCCTAGTTACGCTTGCATACACACAATGGGAATACACCCTCTTGCATTGAGTGGAAAAAATGTAAACTTGTGTTATGTGAACTTTTACGCATCTGCATACTGGCAGAAACATGAAAGTTTTGAGGAATACCGTTTTATTCTTGATGATAGATGGATCATTTGTCAATGTCCTTGCACGTGGTATTGTATAAAGTATTTGCACATCTGCATATTATTGAATTGCATTAATTAGTTCGTCCAAAGGCATGGAAATGTGGATGGCGATGGCTCTTTATTTTGCTAGAATATCAAGAGATGAAGTTGTTTTACCGGGATGTTTTGTTCAATGGTCAATGCACTTGATTCATTTTTATTGTTCTGTTTTTTATAAAGGGTTACCAACGGGCTAGGGAAATAATACACACGATAAGCTAACACAACAAAATTATTCTGACGTTTTTAAAACTGAAAAAAAAATATCCCCTGTGCACAATATTGTGATTTTTGTTAGCTATGTATGTGTGCTCATATAAAATCATCTCTAAGGTCACAGTTTATCCCAAAATTAGAAATATCTCCATTGATAGTACTTGGAAAAGATTGTTTAAAAATCACGTAAAAATTTTCCCAAGCGGTATGTGCGAAAATAATTTGCCCTAAGGCTGTGAGATCTAAATGTTTGTTTTCTTTTTCTCAGCAATGTATTAGGCGTGTATTGATTCAGCAAAGTAAAGGCAAGCTACCCAATGTGTTGTCGGGTTGTCCCAACACGTGCCGTTAGGCATGATGCCTGACGTTTTGCTCCGCTTACTGGGAGCTTCAGGAACTGCATTCAGTTCTTGAGGAAGCTCCCCGGCACATGGACAAACTCTCAAACACGCGGAATGGAACGTCAGACATCGTGTTGAACAAAACGCGGTACAACCTAAAAACATAGTAATGTAAAGTTCAACTTCATACGGTATTGTGCGTTATGCTACTACCCTTCTGGTGGGACTAAATTGTAGGCCATTGACTCAGGGTCAACTCTTCGGTTCATCGGCTGTTAATTTGCAAGGTCCCAAACGCCCAATTGTTTAACCTAATTTAAATTGTGTTACTGTTTTACTGAAATAACGACGGGATAGCCATTGTGGAAGTTATCACTTTTCTTTAAACTGCAAAGTAAAAACTTAATTTTGGCTCCTTGAACAATGTATAATGTGCTACCTGTGAAAGAAAAACAAGTTTAAAACGTATCTTAAGTGTGGTGTTCCTGGTTGGGCTGCACGTTGATTACTGTACATCTTTTCTCAAGCTTTCGCCATGCACTACTGCGGGAATCTTCAGGAGTTTAATTGATAATCTCACCTAGTATCCTAAATGTGCAAAGACTCGGGCGAGATGAACTCATTCAACTCCTGAAGATGCCCGCAGTGTTGCGTGCTGACTTGAGAAAACTCAACACGCAGCATGACCCTTAAAACCACACTTGAAATTCACATAAAATATGTAATTGAACTCACTAAAACAATGAATCCATGAATTAATAATGAAGATACTGTATATTAAAGAATGGGTTTATTATATTTACCTGCTGTGGATTGGATTACAATGCTTCTTTCGTACGTCTAAGTTTGGTCCTGCATATTAAGGTATAAAAAAACCATTGCGTCAAAAAGAATACATTATTAAATGGTGGCTTACGCATGAATTGCACAGATTATTGAAAGTCAATTTAATTCATGCAAGTATAGAGTTGACTTTTTATGATATTGCTTCACCACCCAGGATCAATCATGATATGATCCGTACTAAAATCAGGCTAAAATGTAGGTGAGTGCAGTTAAACCCGTGCCAGAATCTACAGATCTCCACTCGACGATGAGCCGCTAAAAAGTTCAAGGGAAGTACATTGTGGGCTGTCATTTAGCCAGTCATGATTTGCGGGAAATTTGGCAAAAATTGCGTAGACCGTTGACTCTACCCAAACTGGAGCGTTAGTTTAGCTCACAGTTTTGAGTATCAGTGAATAGTTTACAAAGAACGTGTCGCCTTCCATGAAGGCTGCGTATGATGGGGTTGTGAGGTTCAGATTAATGGAATGGCAGTTAAAGTTTATGTTAACTTATTGTTGTAATCAATATGTATGTTTGTGTAAGTCTACATGGAGAACTAATAAAGTATACCAGATATCTATTTTTCCATATTGTTATATTCCTTTAAAAAAATAATTAAATGTTACAAACAACACGTTTTAGCCCTTGACAGTAGAAATGCGTATACAGTATTAGCATTAATAAAAAATGCCAAAATATATTTTACGGATTAATCTAACATAACTACGCTTGCTGAGACATGTCAGTGGGCACTCGCATAGTTTAGCAACGTCAATGAGCCAATCACTGTCATTTGTTTCAATTGTCATGTGGGTATGCTGTCACAAAGCCACATCAGATCCTCGGAGTTAATAGAGGGATACACACACAACCTTCTGTCACTTCGGTAAAACATTAATATTAGTAAGGATATTCATTTGCTTATCCATAAAAGTTCACATCACATCTCCAGATTATTTTACAGGATAGCCTGTATCTTTAGTAATTTATAAATAAGTAAAACATGGATTTGATTCACTTGTATAAATCTCGTCAGCAATGTGGCCTATTAAACATTGGTCTCAAAGAACATGCTGTATCCTGGTTGAACTACATGTTGTTTGACGGTTTTTGGTGGTGAAACAGATGTTTGTCGAATTACCAACGCAGTATTTTCTATCGACAACGCAACACAGCAGTGCGTGTATTAATGCAGAAATCCACGCATCGTCATCAGTCATGATCAATCCACTGCTGGATGAAGGCCACCCTAAACCATCACCGTCTCCCACGGTCCTGCAATGAATGTAACAATCCACCTAGCACATGCACACGAGCAAATTTCCTCGCTCCATCTCCACAGTGGACATCGGCTGGTGTCCCTCCTGTGACAGCCACTGTTAGTCTCGACCACTTGTCTCCATCCCTTCGAGTTACTTGTCCTGCCTGAGACAACTTAAATTCAGTCAATCCATGCATATAGAAACAATATGTACAGATAGGTCAGAAATATTTAAAACCACTTCCATGGTCAGCATATGCCGAATGCATTGTATGTTCACTGCTTTTAGCAAAAATGTTTCAATAGTGAATTGTGGATAACTATTAATACATGTGGAACTATCGCGATAAAAAATGAATATTTTGCCCAAAGTTAAGTTAGTTGGTGATGCTGGGTAGACAGTGGAACACAAATAGAAAAAAATAATTCAAGTCGAAACATTAAATAAGCGACGTTTCGGGCAATAGCCCTTCTTCATAACACACCGTATGTCCATCGGGTTGCCTTTTCCGCACACCATATACTCTCTATATCCACAGCTATGTACATAGGTATACTGGACGTGGTGTGCTGGGTGCCATGTATTTTCTGGCTCAAATGAAGCCCTGACGGATGAGCGAAAGGGAATGTGTGGTGGGTTCACTCTCTCCGACACACCGCCGGTGAGTGCTGAAGCAGCGACTAATTGGCCACGTTTTGTATCACGTGACAAGCCGAGCTGATTGGTGCTGTGTGGTGAACATTGGTCGCGAAAGCCCGACCACGGCTACCCGTTAAACCACTTCCGGCTGAAGTCTTCCGCGCACTGGAAGATGCCCCGAAACCACTCTCCCCCCACAACCCTTCCCCCACAACCCCCCCTCTCTCACACCCCCCCACCACCACCCCTGCACCCCCCACCACCCCCTCTCCCCCCACCACAATCAAATGTATCGAAAAGGCATCCAAAACAGACAACCTGCCCGTTGAGCTTAACCAAAATTGGGAATATTTTTCAGATCCCAAAAAAATAGTTGACAATTTTAACCTTCATTTTTCTGAAGCTGGTAATCTTTTTGATAATGTATTGGGAGTCACCCCTGCTCATGCAAATTCCTACACCCCTGTCCAAACATTAAACGAATTTAGTTTCCAGCCAATCCACGAAAGTAATGTTCTGAAACAACTGTCCTACCTCAAAGGGTCCTCCTCTACCGGAGCAGATAGTATTCCCGTCTTTGCTCTACAAACTGTTGGCCACCTAATATACAAACCTATAGCACATATTTTCAACCTGTCCATCAAAGAAGCATCAGTTCCTCTAGAATGGAAACATTCCTATGTCCGTCCACTTCACAAAGGGGGCCCTAAAGATGATCCAAATAACTACCGACCTATCTCAATTTCGTCCCCGTTGATGAAAATTTTTGAAAAATTATTGACCTACCAAATTAGCAGTTTCCTGTCCACCAACAATCTACTACATCTAAAAAAATCTGGGTTCCAAAAAAAATACAGCACCACATCTGCTGCATTAGACTCTCTGAATCACATTTACAGTAGCCTTGATAATAAGCAGTACTGTGCCTGTCTTTTTCTAGACCTGTCCAAAGCTTTTGATACAGTAGACCACAACAACCTGCTTAGTAAACTAAGTTGCCTCGGTTTTTCCGAAAACGCAGTAAAATGGTTACAAAATTACCTCTTTTCTCGCACCCAAACTGTATTCACAGATGGTTGGAGGTCAAACAGTGTTACGATAACTAAAGGGGTTCCACAGGGTTCCATCCTTGGCCCCCTTTTGTTCTCTCTTCATGTCAATGACTTGGGCACTGAACTGGATCATTCCATGGTAAATCTTTTTGCAGATGACACGAAACTGATTACTGCTGGCCGCTCTCTGGATGACGTGATTGCTAAGCTACAGGGTGATTTCAACAAACTACAACATCAGCTAGTTGCTCTTAAACTAGTCCTGAATACCTCCAAAACCAAGGTGCTATGCTTCTCACCAGGACTAAAGCAGGAAATTATTTTTCCCCAATTACATTCCTTAAATAATGATCAAATAGAGCAAGTCAAGATCTATAAATATATTGGGGTCATCCTGGATTCAAAACTTGATTATATTGGTAAAAAGACAAAAATAAAAATTGGTTTTCTGTATCGACACAAGCACTGCTTCCCCCCAATGTTCCGTTTGGAATTGATAAAAGCTACCATACTGCCTCAACTTGACTACTGTGACATCACTCATTGTTTTTTTTTCAGTAAAGTCACGTATGTAGAGATACAATAAAATTATATTAAAACAAAACAAATATATAATTTTATTGTATCTCTACATACATGACTTTACCGAAAAAAACCAATGAGTAATTTTACGCAGTCACGAAAGCTTTAATTCTTTACTGTGACATCGTGTATAAATCAGCCCCAAGTACTGTACTGAAGAAGCTTGATTACATCTATCACTCGGCCTTAAGATTTACATTGAACTGCCCATATAGGACTCACCACCGTGATCTCTACATTGGGTCAAACTTAACATCTCTTAATGTTCGACGGCTTGTGCACCAGATCTTATTTATTTACGATGTACTTACAAAAAAATCCGTAGACTACCTGCTGGATCTCCTCTCTGTTTCAAAGAACAAATTTGACCTCAGGTCTTCGCTCATTTACCAGCTTCACATTCCCTATTGCCGTACAAAAACTGGAGGAAGGGCCTTTGCTATTGATGCCCCCAGGGTCTGGAATGCTATTGCCAATAAACTGCAACTTGAATAGCTACCAATGAGATCTTCTCTCAAAACTGCTCTAGAGGAGTTGTACACCCCCCTCGCTGCCACTGCTATTCATTGGCGTAAAATAGAATCAAATGTTTCGCTCCGGATGACGCTGCAAAGTATTATCTGTATTTTAATTTAGCGTGCTGATTTTAAAGGTGCATTGAAAAATGTGATACTCCGACTGATGCTTCTGTTGTTGTGGAGTAACTCATGCAGCCAGCTATGGCTCTAGGATTTGGTGTTACATGTTATGTAGTTTATTGTAAAAATTCGGTCACAGTCCCTATGATCACTGTTACGTTGCAATTATGGATTTATTTTTTGGTGATTTCGAAAAGTTTTTTGGTTTGGACATGTTTGTTTTGTTGTAGTACGGAGTTAGACTGATGGCGTTAATCTAAGTTTTCTTGTGGTTGTTGTTGTTTGACTTGCATCCCACTGGGATTTTTTGCACACAGCGTTGGTGTACGGTGCTTTTTTCAGGAATATTTTGATGTTTTTTTCCATGGATTTTCTGTTTGCACAGTCACATAGTCACTTTAAGATGTTTTTCTTGTTCGTGTTTTTGTTTTTTTGTTTGTTGTGGTTGCACCCGATTCAAGAGCCGAATGGCTCACAGGGCTATACCAAAATAAATAAACTGAAACTGAAACCACCCCCCCCTCCCACACCACTCCTCCCCACCACCCCCTCTACCCCCACAACCATCCCCCACCACCCCCTCTACCCCCACAACCATCCCCCACAACCCCCCCCTCCCACACCACTCCTCCCCACCACCCACGCACCCCCCACCACCCCCTCTCCCCACCACCTCCCCTCCCCCCTTTCCCACCCCCCCCACCACCCCCGCACCGCCTCCCCCCCATCTCCCCCCACCGCGAGTACACGAGAAATGAACGCTGACGTCAACCTTAGCGGCGTGACGTCAACCTTAGCGGCGTGACGTTGGCGTGCGCGACGACGTCGCCACCGCCCCAACCATCCAATCGGCGCGCGCACGCCGCCCCTCACGACCCCGCCCCTCTCGTCGTCGTCCCCGCCCGCCCCCACCCCCCGCGACGCAGTCACATGACGAGGGGCGCAGATCGGACCCGAACGGCTAGGCCTCAGCGACCATGGTAAGTTTTAACATCCTTCACAAACGCCTCGGATTGCTTCAGCAATTGTTGTTTCGCGTCACGGTACACGGCGGCGCGCTTGGGCGTCGACCGTGCACACGGAGGGCGCCGCTGGGTCAACGCGGTTTGGGCGAGAAAGGCGAGCGGTTTTGAGGGGCCCCATCCGCTAGGCCGCTACGGTCCCTCCTGTGTTGTTTAGTTTCTCTGACGGCCTTGGGAGCGGCAAGTTCCGTAGGGCGGCCCGTGCGATAGGCGCCTCCCTCCTCCCCCGTCAACTATTAAATGTAATGCAATTTTTTTAAAATTAATAATCGACTAAATGCCACCGTATCTCTGGATTGTACCAGTAAAGACCACTGACATTTTGATGTTGAGAATGATGAAATGTACATTTTAAGTTGGGGAAGAGAACTGTACCATTGA